TTGTATTTACAAGCTGCGTCACGTGACCAAAATTCAGAGAACCGATTCACTTTACTGAGCGAATACTGAGTGATTCCAGAAAGAGGAGTGGTAGTTCTTTTACAGTTTACGGAGAGCTTTTGTTGGAAGCGTGCGAGAAACAGCGATGTTCCATTCGTTCATGAACTGATTCCCCTTACTGAGCGAGCGAGCGTCTCAAAAATTCGCGAAGAAGAACCGAGGTTTTTAGAGTTCCCTCACCACGAGGTCTTGTTGGAAGCCTGCCAGTAAAGTTCGATTCTCTTTCTAGGGAAGAAAGGAATGCTTATCCTCCCATGTTAAAAGTGAGTATAATATTTATCATTTCCTAACTTTTCGAAAAAAATTTCATTATAGAATTTTATTGTTAGCTTTGCGTAGGAAAGAAGTTTTAGGGAATCTCGAAACCACAGTTTAAAGAAATCAGTTCATGGAATTAGCGTATGATTAAGTTGATTTTTCCGATCACACTACTCGTTTGATTCTTTCCGCTCTTCCCTCCATCCTCGTTAACCGCTCTTGATTCACTCTTAATTCTTGATCATTTTCATTATGGTTATTGTTAGTGACCGATGAGTCATAAAAAAGAACCAATTCAGTTCAGTGAACGGTTCTGATGCGATTCATAAAAGAGCTGTTTTGTCGTTCTCTAATTTGATTCATTCCTTAAACACCGATCGCGGGTATCAAGAGTTATTTCGTTTTGCCACATTTTACTTACCTTTCGGTATAATTATTATGTCTTCCAAATGCGTGCAAAAGCTAAATAAGACACTACCGAAACACCATTTATCGGAACGCACACACTTGCTCTACCGTTCCTGTGATTATTGGAAGCTTTGGGAGAATGCCTGTCTGTCGCAGACCGATCGTCGCGTCCTTTTGGATAGCTTGAATTATCTGAAAACTCTCGCTCGTAGAACCATTTCGAGAGAAAACAGTCAGAAATCAGAGTTAAGAAACATGGAAAATAAAATGGGATGAGAATCTGTTTCTGACTAAAGAAATTTAAGTTTTTTACTCAAACGCCCGTCAAAATGTGACAACGCGCGGAATGGTAAAATATACTTTAATTGCCTTTAATTCTACAAAATGAACTAAGCTGTTCTGGATAATCTTAATTCATAAATATCTTCTGTAGAGAGAACGCTAAAGCCTCTTAACTGCCTGATTCTATTATTACAAATTTCACATCGGTGACGACTTTTCCGCGAACTCTGCTCAAAGTCTGTCTTTTTCAGAGTGCAAACATTGCTAAGATGTTTTGAAGAGCCGATTATGTATCGAATTTACGGGTTTTGTTACAGATAAGGATTGCTAAAAAAAATGGATTGTCGAAAGGCAAGAAATAACTGTATTTGGCAATTCTCAGATTGATAAAAACAAGTATCAGTTTATTTAATGAAACTTTTGTGCCCTGTTAGTGATTTTATCGGAATGAAAAAAAAATTGTACAGGAGTTTTATGTTTTCTCAAGAAGCATGACTTTCAAATAATTTCAGTTAAATGTAGTCTATGAATTCGATTTTGGAAATTCAGTATATCGTGGGAAAATATCATATTATGCATTGTTTAACACTTTTAGCGTTCTTGTTTTGTATTATATACAAACAGTTTTAAGTAACTCCTTAGAAAGCAAATTGATGGTAAATTTCTGGAGAAGCAGACCATTTCGCATCTACTACTCAAACTAGGGGTTTGAGTCAAAAACAAAACTTTCTCGAAACTACGATATTCACACAAAAATAGCAAGCTCTGTGATACCCACCGCATTTAATGAGGCGCTTATAGTTTTTAGTTTATCAGGAAAACATGATATCGGAAGCGTCGATTTAGATCGAGCTCCACAGAAACTTAAAGTAATTTATTTTAGTTCGCCTAGTTAACTGCGACTTATTGGTACGTGCGGATGTTTCAGGTAAAAATGCCCGAAGCTCGCATATAAAAAATTGTAACTCTCCGAGTTATTTTATTTTGCAAGAAAATTTATTCATAAAAATATATTTTAAAAGAGCAACACACATACACATTAAAAAAGTAACAGAAAAATAGTAGCAGAAATATAGGCAGTTAATTTAATTTTTTGCATCGTTTCTTAAAAAGTGTTTTTTTTAATGAATAAATTTTTGCAGAAAAAGTTTAAAGGTGAAAATGATAGTAAGAGAAGGTCTAAACCACTTTCACCCAAAGCGCCCTCACAGTACTGTTGGTTAAGTCACACCACACTCCGTCAATATGGCAATCTCAAAAACTGTGAAACTTACTTATATTCAGATCTTTAGGATCGTTTCCTTTACTTATTTCAAAGAAACAAAATTTAACGCATTGTTTTTGGAGTCCTGCATAATTATGATGCGTTCGGAGTTGGATTTTCTTGCTTCTCTATAAATATGCAAAGTTCGGGAGATACCAATGATGTCAAGGGCGTCCGCTGCTTGCCCTTCTCTGTTCTGTTCCTTTCTCATTCTACAATATGTTGAAATAAATTCTAATTCAATTGCAGCGAAGAAACCATGTACATGTGGTCACTCCTTGGCAAAAGAATACCAAATTGGGTTATTATACGATTCCTTACGAAAACTGTTACAAAACTATGACGCAAGAAATTTTTCCTTTCATCATCTTCAGTTGTTCTTGCGGGTTGATAATGAAGATGGTAACAAAACTTAGATTTCATGAATTTAGACCGAAAATTAATTATGATAATCTTTCAACTATTTCATTTCATGTATTCCGATGGTTGCCTCAAGCCCTGAGGATTGTTTAATTTTGTCCTGCAAATTTATATCCATCAGCATTCTGCAATTTATTAAAAAAACATGATCAAAAAGAAAACTCGAAAAACTGTATTACACAAAATTTCAAGTGACTTGATTGAGAAATGTCCTGCATAATTTAAAACAGAAAAGTATTCGTTAAATTAAAAACTTACCCTTTTTATTACTTACCAGACTGAAGTAAATTTGTATTTAATGTGCCTAATGTATTAAATATTTCAAAAATATTAATTATTTAAATTCACAAGTGCAAACTCAAAACTTTTGTACGGCATAATGTTTTATTGAACGTCGTTACTTTATGGCATTAAATTCGAAAACATTAGCAGTCGACGTCTATAACACGATGTCATCGAAAATAAACATGTATATATTTACTTATATGTGTGTATATTTAATACATATATATATATAAATTTAGAAATACTAGTACGTACTAAACATAGAAATAACTATGGATTTTGTTATTCTGATCAAATGAGTCCTAAAAACGAAAGGAGTGGATTGAAGAGATAAATACTTTGTAGAAACATACAGAAATTTTTAAACCGAAACAGTCGACGGGACTCGAGTTCTGGACCACCCAACTGCTGAAGGGACTTGCTTCCAATGGTACCATGAAGGTACACTGTAAAAAGGACTTAATGCCATGCAGCTTTAATGCCTGAAATCAAGATTTCGGGTTCAGGTAGCAGTTTGAAAATTATAAATTTTGAGTTAATCATCAAACCTGTAAAATAACAACACATTTATACAAAAAAATTAAAGAAATTAAGAAACGTAAGTAATGGAAATGAGTAATAAAATGCAAAATCTTAAGCACAAACAATAAATAGTAATATGCGTCTAAAATTAAATCAAAAATTTGTTATAATAAGCTTTCTTTTTTAATTAATATTTACTATTATTTGTCATTAGATAAGTCAAATATGATATATAAAAACAATCCAATGCATAATAAGAATTTAAAAACTAAAAAAAAAAAAAAAAAAAAAAAAAAAAAAGAACAGGTAATATAATAAAGATGTTTTACTGCAAAGAAGAAAAAATTATTAAACTCTTACAAAATTAAGTTTATTGAGCTACAGTTTTGAGTAGATGCACTCTTGGCATAGTATTAGTGAAACCAGCAGCCTCAGGCCCAGGTTCGAAACCATGAGAAGGCATAGATGTTCGTAAGTTTTGCTTCATTGGGGGGGGGAGGAACTTAAAATGCTGTTGAGCTGAATGTCCACTAGAAAGTTTAATGGAAGAAAAACCCTGGGATCCGTCTTTCGCGGTATTCTCCTTCAAAACTGAGAAGCTTAGCAGAGTCGTACACCGCCCAAGGCCTAAGTCGAAAATGGGAACAAACCTTGCTCGTTTGGGTACGATAAAATTCATGGATTCTATACGATGTTATTGTCAGCCAAGTGTGATAAGTCACAACAAGAAATTTTAGTAGTAAATTGATTTTAAGGTCAAACTATATTTGAGTCTGATTAATAAAAAGTACTGTACTCAGGAAATATAGATAGAAATAGTCTTTCAAAAAATTAATTGGACTTGCTTAAAAATACGTAAATACTTTTGTAATACGTAAATATTTCGTAAATGCTTTTGTAATTCTAAAAAGAAAATTGCATGAACCAGCATAATAAAGCACTGCTAGAAGATAAATTATGCGTAGAAGTCTAGTTGATATGCTGTTCATTTGTGTATGAAAAGCTCATTAAAACTTTTGAATTCCAATAAAAATTCTTCAGTCATAATAGGAAATATTAAAATATGTAAGGTTGAAAATTATGCCACCAATAGAATTCTATTTGGTATTGAAAAAGAAAGTCAAAGCTTTTTTTTCTTTAGGTAACGGTAATTTTTGGCAGCACCTTTAAAATTTACCTTTCTCATCGGAAACGAAATTAAGCAATCAACAAAAATCACCTTGAATTAAGAACTATGACGTGGTATAAATTTGAGTGGCACATGGTAAAATCAGGCACGAAACCTGACGATGGATATATACATTGCAACGTAATATTTTACGCAAGTCTTGAACAATAAATAACAATCTTCCCGCTCTTCCTTCGTTATCTTTGCTTTGCTGTTATTGGGCGAAATAGTGAAAATCCGGTGACGTCACATTACTACTGGACCTGACGTCTCAGCAAAGCTTTATTTTTTCACGTGGGGCTTCTTTAAAGAGAATTTTTCGGTGATTTTTCGTTTAATTGCGAGCATAATTCAAGGTGGTAATGCGCATATTGTTGCTTCTGCGCTGGCCTTATCATTTTTTTATTGCTATATTTTTTATTCTTTCACCAGCAGACAACAGCTGAGGATCACTCTCACGGGGAGAAAGTAGAAACCTTGACAGTGCTTTTGTTACGCGCGGAATTGTTTGACATTTGGAGAATTTCTTCTCGAGTCTATCACATTCTTCAAATATTTATTGAAGTGTTTCTTCGTCTATTTATATTTTGTTGCTTCAAGTAGCAAAATATTGCCATGTGGGCGAAAGTGTGTCTTGTAGGACCTAAAGGTAAGCACAAATAAGGTATTTTAAAAAAGATATATTGAACTAAGCTAATTTTAATTTTGATATATATATGAAAAATAAACTGTGTACAGTTTTTACCTACACTGAACTTTTATACTATTTAAATTATTAAACTAAATTGTTTGACTTTAGTTTAATAATTTAAATAGTTATTTAAATTATTAAACTGATTGACTAAAGTTTAGCTTGCATAAAAATTTTTCGGTAATTATGTTTTATGTTGTTTCAATGAACAGTATTTTTTAAATTTCGGTAGAAAAGGAATTTGACAGAATTATTTGAATAATTTTATTTGAAAAATATAAATGTCTTCATTCGGAAAGAGACTTCGTCTTTGCAAGTATCGTCAATTATTAAACTTATTTTCGGTTTCGAAAAGTATAGAAGTCAATTTGGGTATCAATGAAAATTAATTTTACATTAATAAACATATGCAATACTTAAAACTAAAATTATTTATTTTTATTTATACAAATGCCAGACATTTTGCCACTAAACCATTAGTCTTGATCTTGCTTCTCAATACTTAAGAACAATAGAATTAAAAGATAATAGTGCAGTGCATTCGTCAATATGCTCCTTACCCCATGGACTGTCTAGAATTATAAAGAGTACAGACAGAAGAGTCTTCAAGTCGAAATTCTAAAAAGATGGGCATTCAGACAATCGTGCCCAGTCAAAAGACGAAATAACGCCACGGCTACAGGACAAGGAAAATCTGGAAGCCTTTGAACTAGTGAGACACTCCCAGGCCTTTCCCTTAGCTTCATTTGATAGGTAGGAGGCAAATTTCCTCTTAAATTCTAATTTAATTTTTAATTTTCAGAGTTTTGCAGAATTAAAAGTCATAAGTTTGTAGAAAAGTCGTTCCTTTCTTTGGCAGGAAATCGGCTCTTTCATTTCCCTCGATGCTTCAAAGAGCAGGAATCCACTGAAAGAGAATTAGTTGAGTCTGCCAGATTGTTGAGAATCTTTCAACATTCGTAAATTCGTTCGGTAGTGCAAACTTTATTGTTGGAGATAATCGTACCGCCCGATAAAACTGAAATTAAAAATACTTAAAATAACTTTAAATGATAATTATTGCAGCGCAGACGCCAGGCAAAATTTTGAAATGTGGTTTTTAATTAAATGATGAGCTGAATTATGCCGCCTCGAAAATGATCGATGTCGAAAATATGTATTTGAGTGTGAAAGGCAGATATTTGCTTCTCTGTGCTGTGAGTTTCTATGGAGACACGTTGCAGGATTATTAAATACCTTATAAGGTTATACAAATTACACTAAATCTAAAAATCTAAACGTTAACCTTACTAGACTTTCGGACGAAATTTCGTTTCGCTGTAATACGAAAGTGATAACAACAGTCATATAAAAGCAATTAAAACATTCATTTACTTGAAGTTGCACAATTAAGGACGTTAAGAAAAGGTGAATTTCCACTGTTAAGTGGTCTGAGAAAGCAGCAGTAGTTAAATTATTTCAAATTAAATATTGACTGCTAAGAACTTGACTCTTACATTAGCGCTTCTTTCCACGTAACCGCAAATGAAAGCTAAATCAGCAACAATCAGCTTAGCAGTCCAGCAGGCTGAATCAGATTGCAATACTCCGGGCTTAAGTTGCTTTACAAATTTACATTCTTGTTTATTGTTTAAACTCAAGTAATTTGCATGTCTGGTGAAGTAAAGGAAAAATAGAAATGTAGGCAAGATTCATCATAAAAAAAACATGTTTATTAAAACGAACTTACAAGCTGAACAATGATGAAAATTCAGAATCAACGAGAGTGAACCTAGTATGGCAAAATTAGAACATATTTTTGTATTATTTTTATTACGTTCGATTTAGGAACAAACTAGAAATGTCTTTATTGCTGAGGCTTTATATTTATCGGGGATTTATGCTGCTTTAAAGAATAAAGTTAGTCCTATCGTGTATACTTTTTATTGTAAGCGTTAGCGCATCTCGAAAACCTACTAGTCTGTGCACGGGAGGTATATGTATGTGTAATGAATTTAAATGTATTATAAGTTATAGGTATATGTATATGTATCAATTTAACTACTAGTCTGTGCACGGTAGGTATATGTATATGTATAAATTTAAATGTATTATGTATCCCTTTTAATTTGAGATTGTTTTCATTAAGATTCTAAAAGCGCGCACAAAATTTTCTGTATGGCTGAAATGCCATAATTTAATTAGTCTCATAAATTTCTTGCTTTACCCTAATATGTTCTTCTTCTGGCGCATCCTTGATTCCATTTAAATTGTATCTTATAATAGGTAAGCTCAAAAGCGGTCAAGAGGTAAAACTGCTGAACACTGGTAGTTACGACCTGGCTTCGATTCCAAGCGAACGGCCTAGCTGCATGGGCGTTTTCATGGTATTTCCCAGGTGTAGCTTGTATACAAGCCAGTTTTCCTTAAAATGTCTCCTCGAAGGCATCCTTCCCTTAGGCAGATAACCCTAGTGTGCTTTGCCATAATCAATTATAATCAAACCAAGCTTGTAGTAGGTAACGATCAGGGGAGAAATTTCCGTCCAGTGTCATACAATATTACTTTGGTTATAACCAAGTAACTTAATAATAATATGAAGGCCCTCTGACGAGAAAATTACGCACGGGTGAGAAAAGGTTGAACATATTTTCATTGCCTTGTCTCTGATTTTACGTAACCATATGAGATTGCTGAAATGTAGTCGGTGCTTTCTGAAATCTGGAAATATATATATATATATATATATATATATATTAAATATGGCGGGCGCTAACCATTTTAGGCTTCAACCACTACTAAAGACAGAAGCGGTGGTCATTTTACTATGGAAGAACCTACTAGGCAGCCACTGTTACCTCCTGTGAAGGAGTAGACAATTTACATCCAGGCCTTCTCCGGGATTCGAACCCGGGCCCTTCGGTGCGGCACTCAGAGTCACAAAACACTTTCCCGTCTGCGCGGCAGAAATCTATTTTCAAAGTGTTCTGATGAGACAGCAATAAAGTACTACATATTTTACGCCATTTACGTGAATTTGTATAGACAGAATCCAAAAGCGAGTCAAGTTGTTGAGCCTACCGGAATTTCAATTTATATTTTAAAGTGGTCATCCTTGGAAACATTGTTTTTCAATTGCTTTTACCTTAAAGATAAGGGCCCACCAGCGGCCGAGCGGTAACGTCGCTGAACACTGGTAGCTCGGTCCGAGGTTCGAATCCCTCGAACGGGCTGGCTGCATGGGTGTTTTCGTGGTTTTCTCCATGTGTAACGTGTATACGAGCCAGTTTCCCTTAAAAAGTCCTCCACGAAGGCATCCCTCCCTTAAGGCAGATAGCCCTCGAGTGCTTTGCCCTAATCTAATGAACCGAACCTTAAAGATAAACATTTAGTCCAGTTAACTAAGCAGTCAAAGTGAACTAAAATCTACCAACTCGTTCTCATTTTCTAATTAAGTGTCTGTACTTTTAAAAGGTTGCATTTTCCAAGTTAGAAAATGATTTTCAAAAGGTTTGGTTTGGTTTATTGGATTACGGCAAAGCACTCGAGGGCTATCTGCCTTAAGGGAGGATGCCTTCGTGGAGGACGTTTTAAGGGAAACTGGCTCGTATACACACACATGGAGAAAGCCACGAAAATGCCCATGCAGCCAGCCCGTTCTCGGGATTCGAACCTCGGACCGAACTACCAGTGTTCAGCGACGTTACCGCTCGTCCGCTGGTGGGCCTGATTTTCAAAAGGATATGGGCAGCTTTATATTGGGGTACCCCTATGAAAGTTTGTATCTTAGCAAACAGCATTTAACTCTCATAACTCATTAGTGTTGACACCCTTTATGACGGGAAGCTGAGTGACCCCAACTTTGGGAAACTTGGGGAGGGATATACCTGCTTCAAAATTTTTACTTTATTGGTATAAAATACCCCACTGCATATGGTACTGCTCATTAAATTCTTTTGTCAGGCATCAAAGTTGAGTCTAATAAATGTTTTGGATTTAAAATGTTTTCAATATTTATTGAAATATATGCTTCATTAAAATGTGACAAGAAATTTATAGCATTCCTCATTTCAGACATTGAAAATTTTAATACATATTAAATTAGGAATTGTAACATGTGCAGGTAGATAAAATATTAGACGCATATATGATATGATAGGTACATTTTGAGAAAGCAAAAATAAACTTATTTTGGAGACTTCTATTTGATCTTAAGTTATCGGAGATGGTACATTATATTTCCCCAAGAAATATGAGTTTTATTAATTCAGCAGGAAGAGAAGAAAGTTATTCAATACTGAAATAGTGCTTCATTAAGTATTTAGGATTTGAAATTTTAGGCATAGAGAAGGAGTAAAGTAAACAGGAAATAGTTCTCAAAAGCTTATCCACCTCTCCTATCTTCAAAGTTAATGATTATCCACCTCTCCTATCCACTTTATCCTGATCTCTAGCAACATGAATATATTTCTGTTTATTATTTTTTATTTCGTAAAGTTATAAGGTATTTCTCCCGCCTTCTTAGCGTGCTTTCTTGGTGTAGTGGTCAGCACGCTCGACGCGAATTTGAGAGGTCCATGGTTCGAGTCCCGGCGAGGGTGTTTCTCATTTTTCACGTCCCCTAGCCTAAAAATAACCTAATGTCTGTACAAAGTAATTCAGAATGGAGAGAGAAAACACCTGAAGGCAAAGGAAGATGTTATCTCCTAAATTTATTAATGAATATAATATCCATAATTTTCTTGACACTTGCCTATTTTCAGGCTGATTTTGAATATTCTTCATGAAGAACTCTTTTCATGGAAAAATATTCACTTATTACCGTTTCAACTTCCTCTATACTGTGGAAGTCCTTGCCAACAAAAACTGCAGAGATTTACGCTTGTAAAAATCGAAGGGAGCAATATCTGAACTTTTAGGTCAATCAGTAGAATTTTCCATTATTTAGCCTTTGTCGAGACGTTCTTGAAATGTCTGAT